TGGATCTCCAAGTCAATAGGTTTTGGACCTCCCGTTCTGATTTCAATCCCAAGTTTTTTTGACTAGTTAAAGATCGAGCGCTTGAAGGTTGAACTTAACAATAGACAAAGCATCTATGCAATGTATAGGCAAATAGAAATCTCGCTTTCACGTGTCAATGTATTACGTCAAGAATAGCAGTGAACGTAGTACTATAAAAGGAAAAAGGTGTGTAAGTTCGTAATCATATTCAATTTATATTCTCGAATTCAAATGTCTAAAAAGCTAAGGAAGAACAAAGCATACTAGAAGCTACCAAAACCAAATTGAATTTAAGGTAAACACACATAAACTGCACAGTTAGTGTTCCCAGGCTGAAATGTTAAGGTAAACACACATAAACTGCACAGTTAGTGTTCCCAAAGATCAACCATATCAGCTTCATCTATGTGATGCTATATATGACTGCACAGTTAGTGTTCCCAAACATTTCTGACATGCAGTAAACAAGAAATTCAGAATTAGGATAGAATACATCATTGTAAGATCATAGAATATAGTCTCAAGGATGACTATCATAGAATATAGTCTCAAGCAATAATTTACATACGATATAAACTTTATAACCATATCAGCTTCATCTATGTGGGATCCCAATTAATAGGTATATATCCGCTACTTCTATTTTGTATTCTTGACAGGATGCTTTACTAGATAAGCACATAGTGGAAGGCACTTTTGGTGAAGAACTATGTAAGCCAATCGGTCGGCCCATTAAATCATTAATGGTAAGTAATTATGCATCAATGTGAGGTGAGAAAAGAATAAGAGAATCGAGAATATGTAGTTTAATGCACTAAACTAGATAAACCTATACCATCAGTTCTAAAATATATTATGATTCCTAAGAAATGAATTTAAGGAACTCATTGTATGAACATATAAAATTCATCTTCTTATGTATTCTTATGTATTTTTGAAGCATTAATCGCGGTCCCAAGCTCGCCTGCAGACTCAGCTCGCCTGCAGACCCAAGTCTGCCTACAGTCCCAAGCTCGCCTGCAGACCCAAGCTGCAGACTCGCCAGCTCACTGTCAACTGCCCACTGGGAGCATGGGGACAGTTACATCAGTGGCCAAATCCCACAAATCAAGGGAGAGGGCATAGTACCCCAAGACCGTCAAGCGGCCGCTCATAGTACGAACGATTGGGCAGGTGTCGAGTCGGCCTGAACATTCATAAATGCAGCTCACCTCGGCTGTCCGAGTCAGGAGCCGGATCCGTCGGCATTCGGCAAGCTGTCCATGCCACAGTACCCCAAGACCGTCAAGCGGCCGCTCACAGTACGAATGATTGGGCAGGTGTCAAGTCGACCTGAACATTCATAAATGCAGTTCACCTCGGCTGTCTGAGTCAAGAGCCAGAACCGCCAGCGCACAGTGAGCTGGCCCAATCCACTCGAGTAATGGACAACCGCTGTCTCACATACGAGGGTGGACCTTCCCACTCCTAGGCGACAGGATGTGAAGCACAACCCATCGAGTGACGGTTCGTAGTACAGAGGAGTGACAAGATGTCTCTCAACAGTGTATGGTCACATCCCATGATTCAAGGAGCGGCCACGCCATCTCTCCTCTATTTAAGAACCTCGCCCGGCTACAGGAAAGAGGTTCACACATAGTTAATTGATTAATTCAATCAGTTAACTGAACCACTGGCTCTTGACTCCCAACGGAGTCGACGACAAGCTCTCTGCATCACTTTTGCATTGCAGCGCCACTTCCTAGTTCTGAGCCCCGATCGCCGGTGAACTAGCAGATCCGAACTCCATCGACTCGAGCTTCTACTGCGTACTGAAGCTCTCCAGCAACTTCGATCGGATCGTCCAAGGGAAGCAGACTCGGCACGAGCACCGAGCGAGGCGTCCTATCGCCACCGGTGAACCCACGTTAAACAAGGAGGGCCTTCCCTCCGTTTCTGTTGTAAACATTTGATTTATTAGTTTGTAATAAGCCTTCTTATTAATACAAACGAGGCTCCCTGTTTTCGGGAAATCAAATTTACACCCTACATGGACGTCCAAATACTACTCAAGATCAAAAGAAGCAAAAGGATCTGTGAATCAACACAAAACAATGGGAACCGCCACATGTGAGCATGACAGTGCTGGCTGTCGCGCATAGGTGCGGCAGTGCTGGCTGCCGCGCATAACCGCGGCAGTAGTAGGTATCGCGCAAGTAATGGGGAGGTACCGCGCAATTTCTAGAACAGTTATGCAATGATTTTTTAAAGTCCACGTGGGGCCAGGATAAAAAAAGGAGACGTGTGCTGACATGGACGAGCGGTTAAACCACGAAAAAAGGTGGTTAAAAGCCGTGGGAGAACGGTTTCAAGCATGACTGAACGTGACAGAAACCGCCCCTTTAGCCGCGCCAGCCTACACTGACGCGCTAATAGCCGCGACAACGAAGACTGACGCGCCCAAGGAACATGTGATGGGTGGTTATTCGGCTCCCGTTTCAACAGTTAGAGGCCTCTATCCCTATAAATACTTTCCTAGACACGAAGTAAAGGGGCTGAGCATTTTTTGGAGCAGATCCAAGGACAGAGAGCAAAAAGACTTTGGGAGAATTTCAAGAGTTCATCTCCTTCCAACAATTAGGAGGTTCCTTAAGATCTAAGCTTTGACTTGATCTTGATAAGAGTGTTCATCTTACTTCGATAAGATATTCACTGAAACTATTCTTGCTTCTAAACGAAGGAAGAATCCCCAAAACCTTCACGATTCAATCAGAATTCGTGATTCGGTGGTCCACGGGCTAACGCACCCTCGGCACAGGCAAAGATCCCGCGCAAGCAGCGATCCAAACAACGATCCTACGTTTGTTTCTAAGGAGCTTGTAATTTGATTTTTGTTATAAAGAGTAGTTTTACAAAGTACGAAGCTCACTCTTTTATATTCATTGTAATCGATAAACAATTATAATGAATTCTACAACAGAACTTGTTCCTGACGCAAACAACAAGATAATAGAGGCAATGCTTGTTTCAACATGTCACAAGTGAGAGAGACTGTTGAACAAGTGCAAAAAGACAAGGGAAAAAAACACCTCAAAGCCTGTGTGGAGGCCATGACTATCAAGTTATGGTCATATTGTTTTCTTTTTGGTGAACTATGGTGCATATATTACATATAATGATTTGTTCAGCGTACTTGAATCCATGTGTTTTGTGTTGAAACCTCATGGTTGGAGGTGGTTGTAGTTTTTGGTGAAACTGAAAAGTTCAATGTGAATACTTCAAGGTCTTGTGCTGGCAATTTGGTCATGTTTGGATTTGATTGTAAATCACTATACATGTTTCATGCTTGGGAAATGTAGTATATATCTATATATATCATGTCTAAGATTTTGTCCTTGATGTATGGCTATGTTTAGTTTTAGAACATGTATATATGCAAAAAATGAGTTATCTGTATTTTTCTAATGTATGTATCATGTCTGACGTTTTGTACCTGAGATTGATGCATGTTACTAATATATGTATCATGTGTGAGATTGATGCATGTTTTACTGATATATGTATGACCATGTTTGTAAATCAATATATATCTTTCATGCTTGAAAAGTGTAGTATATATCCATATGTATCATGTCTAGGATTTTGTGCTTGCACATATGGTCATGCTTGGTTTTAGAACATGTCTATGTATGTAGATGAGTGATCAACAATGGGGTGTAGTTTCTAACAGAAACATATAGAACGAGTGGAAAAATATACTTCATCATTATTGTTCATCCAGGCATTGACAATGAGAGATAATGGGCACTAAGTTTAAAACATTATTCATTACGTTCTTTGTTACATCAGTTGGGATTTGCATTTCTCATCATAGTACAAGCAAATATTGCTAACTAATTTAAAGCTACATGATTTGTTTTCTCACCAAGTACAAACACAAATATTAAACCTTAAACAACTACATTGGAAGCAAAAATACAACATGGGAATCTCTTTCTCCTCGTTCACATTTTCCCCTTCAATCTGAGATTTTCCTGCTTTAATAATTTATTGTTCATTTTCAATCCATCTCTTTCTTCTTCTATCTGTCCCATCTTCTTTGTCATGTAATGAATCTCAGCCTTCAATCTCTTGTTTTAAGCCATAATCTTGTTCAACAAATCTTTTGCCGTACTATCAATCTTCCAATCATACCATTTGAAAAAATCACACCTTTTAGAGAAATTAGATGGATTAAAATAGTAGCAGCTGAAAAATCTCCTACATGGGTTTAGATTCTGTCCTTGATGTCAATAAAGAAGCTCTCATGTTGCATTTGCAGTGGACCTCCATGGATATGTCGTGACGAAGAGAAGAACCCATAGCAGTTTTAGATGAAATGGAGACCTCAGACATTTCTTCACAATTGAGAGAGTAAATCAATGCGACAATAGGTTTCTTTTCAGTTGCAAAGCACCAAAGTTTGTCACCCTCAATAATTCTTCTTCATCTACCTCTAGATTTACGGTTTTTTATCAGGCTGAAAGAGAGGAGAAATAAAGAAGAGAACCAAGAAACGGCTATAAAAAAAAATTGTTGAGGGGTTAAACCCTTGTTAAGAGTTGGGTTTTGGTGGGAAACACGTGCAAGTCACGTGGTAATTTGGGTAGTTTGGTTATTAATTGAACAGATTTTGACCAAAAGTGATACTTTACAAAGTAATACTACTTAACTATAAGGTGGTTTCTATCAAAATAAAACTTATAAGGTGGTTTCCATAATTTTTTTAAACTTTTAAGGTGGTTTCCATGAAAAAACGCTATAGTACTTAAGATATATGGATGCCTAAATTTGGATATGTATCTTTAAGAACCCAAATAATAATCTGAGAAATATGCTTTTAAACTTGACTGAATATAGAAATGAACTTTTGAGAACCCCAACTGAACTGACAAACTAATGTTTAGATATCAATCTTCTTCTATGAAGTCCAATAGGAATTAATTCCGCACCATAAAGAATAAACAGAACAAAATGCCACAAAAATGCTACTTTATTTCGCTGACAATAAAATAAACACAAGTTGTTAATTATAAATACTACAAACCCATCATTACAGAAGCTTAACCATTCCATAATATTTTTGCTCATTCTGCAAGGCAAAAACAAGTTTTTGCATAATCAGGACAATTCACTAAATGCTTCTGCTCCTTTAGCCACCTTGATAAAAACATCCTCCAGTGTGGTATCGGTCAGCCCCCATGCTTGTATGGGGAACCTGCTCTTGGCCTTGCCCACTGCGTGGAAAATTCCAGCTATGGTAACATCCTTCTTCGGTATCTCAAACTTCTGGGTCCCCGACAAATGATATATCTTTATGGCATGAGAAGAGAGTCCGTGGACCAGAGCTGCTACCTCTTCTTCATTATCCTCAGAGGTCGTTGTCATCGTTAGGATATAAGTTCCTCCATATCTAGCCTTCAGCTGCAACGACATTCACATAATTTATTAGCAAAATAGGTAATGGAAACGTGTAAAGCTGACAACATCCCTCCCTCCCCCACCCCCACCAAAAAAAAAACCCAACCGCCGCCCAACAAAGGAAAAAAAAACCCACCACCCCAACCAAAACTAAAAAACAAAAAAACCTTCATGTAATGGTTAATAATTGAAACAACCCTCCCTAATCAGGGCTAGGGTTACAAACTTAATTATAACGTTTAATTTAAAAAAGGTAGTTTTGTCTATTTAACAGTTCATCTAACACCGTTAGGGGGTTATTTGAAAATGTTGAAAACATTTAGGAGTTTTCTGAATCACCCTTAACTTAAGGAGGTTTAAGTGACATTTTTTAAGTTTATGGGTTTATCTCAAAATCTGCCAACGTACCCAAGGGTTGTTTCACTGCACCTGATAAATGTAGTTGCACAAAAGGCCTTTTTCTTCCGGCAGGTATGGGCATAAGTCGAGATTTCAAAAAATTTCGGCAGAAAAAGGTCTCTATTATTAGTCAACTGCAATCTACCCAAACAGAACTAAAAAAATCTAACACGATAAAATAAAGACTTGTAATTATAACTAGAGCTCAAATACTAAAATTTTAAAACTGAACAAAGCAACTGCAACTACAACTGCATGAGATAACTGACAATTGCATTTCAACTAGAGTTGCCTTTTTTATCTAATTCTTTGATTTGCTGGTCACTCAGGTAGAGTTACCTCTTTCGGGTTCCCCACACATTGCATTTCACCATCCACAAATATGCCCAATCTGTCACATAGATACTCTGCTTCTTCCATTGAATGCGCTGATAACAGGGGGGAAAACAAAGAAAGATAAAGATGATAGATACAGTGAGATACTATAATTTTAAGTTCACGTATATGGAAATCATAAGCTGCTTCCATCATCCTAGAAAACAACGTAGATAATTAATGAATCAAACAAGGTGTTGCTGCCTTGCAGACCAAGAACAAAGGGTGAATTTCAAACACCCCCACCCAAAATAAAATAAAAATAAAACCCATTTATGCCCACCCTGAACTTATCCCACTTAACCCTCTCTAGTTAACACTGAACTTTGACGCTTACGTAGGGGTGCATTCGGTCCGGATACGGCTCCGCTATGATGCTTATCATATCCATATTGATTCCTACCATATCCATATCCATTTACTCTTCTTGGATACGGATACAGATATACATCGGAAAGGAAAATTCATATCCATATCCGCTAAAATTGGATACGGTTACGGATATACATGCGAATATATAAGCGGATACAAAACGGATATGAGAAAACTTGATAGTATTGAGAAAAACATCGTTCATGTGATACAAAAGAGTTCATTAATATGTTCATTATAACTGAAAAGTTAAGATTAAATATCTTGATCATCCAAATTAATGACAAATCCATAATCTAAGAATCGAAACTATCGTAAGAGTATGACTAATATGTATTCGAATATTTTGGATACGGATACAAATATTTCTCTCTAAAACCATATTCATAACCATATTCTATCGGTTATAGATTTGAGTAAACATATCCGTATCCTAACGGATACATTTACGAATATTTCCTTAGATACGGATATGGTTTAGCACCCATACGCTTACGTGTCAAGCATGTGATAGAGATGGATTAAAATGTCCCTCAGTTCTTTTGGGGTTTGTGTGACTGGGACTGAAATTTTGGGTTATTTCAAAAAGGACATTTTGGTCATTTCATCATTTATTGTTAATGATGTCAAGGATCCAGTGGAAAAACTTCAAAGTTCAGAGGAGTTACATGAGACATCCTAACGTTTAAAGGAGTTGAGTGGAAGAGACAAAGCTCAGGAGGTTTATGTATAAAACCCTCCAAAGTCAGGGGTTTAAGTGAAATTAACCCCCAACAAAACTATAGTAGTCCAAGCCTTGACATGGTAAATTGTAAACTGAAGACACACATTTCTTCTTATAATTGGTCTTTTTAATCCTACTAATAACACTCTGAAAAAAATAGAACTCATTTTCCGAGAAGTGCAGACATGAACGTCTCAAACAAATTGCAGTCGTATAACTTAACTGGTAAGAACTATTGCCCTGTCTTGTTTAGCTCGCTTTAGAGTATTCCACAAGTGATTTTTTGATGCTGGATCTAGTCCTGTGCTAGGCTCATCCAAGTAGACAACCTGAGCAAGGATTGAAAATGCATGTACCAATGTGACTTCATAACATGGTAAAAGAGGGGGTTGGGGGGAGGGGGAGGCTAAGAGTACTATGATGAATGATAGCATTTGTACCTTAGGATCACCAATCAGAGCAATGGCAACACTAAGTCTTCGCTTCATACCACCACTATATTTCCCTGCTTGTTTATCAGCAACACCACCATGAAATAAATTCAGACTCTTCAGAGAATGCTCAACAGCCTGCCCAAAGGTTTAAAAGAGAAATTTTTTTATATCTTTCCTAATGATAATGAGAAAGTCGTGCATGGAGAAGATCTTAGTAGATAAACATGCATTTGCCAACGAGGAAGCTTCATGCCAAGGATGTCATCTAGAAATTGGTCCAGAATTAATAATATAGTGAAGGTGCAAAGCAGAAACGTTTAACCATTTTGTCTTTAAGCCTGAGAATTTCTTTCCTAAAAATCTAAAACGACGAAACAACACTCTTAATCATACTCCTTACAAAAGAGAGAGTTTGAGAAAATTTTTCTTTAGTCAAATTTACCCTTAATCCTATTGGATATTACATTCTAATTTTATCCAAATATATTCAAATAATTTAAAGGTAAAATATTTATCCAAAATTTAATATTAAAAGAGATCAAATAGTGGAACTAATTTTCTATCCTATTAAAAGATGATATATGTCCAATTAATTCTATCTTCCTAAGAATTCTCATTAGATTAAAACTATTCATATCCATTACTAGAAATTCCTATTCATAAAAAAGTAGGAAATTCTGATAATCAAATTTTTGTTCATTCTAAACAAGCTCTAACTATTCACAATTAAAAAAAATCTAAAAAAAATAACCAAAATATTTTAAATTTTAAAAAGTAAATTTCAATGAACCTCTCAGAATTTTAAATTAAGCATTAAATTCACGAAATATTAGCAATTCACATTAAATCCATAGTAAGTTAAATAATTTCAGAAAACACCTAAAATATTTTAAATTTTTGCACTTAAGTTCTAAAATTAAAAAAAATACTCTTAAAGTTCTAATTATGAATGGTACAAAAAAAATTCATAAATTACACATATCTTCTTAAAAATCCAAACATTGTGAGACAAAACCCTTTAAAAATTAAAAATTATAATCAACCCTTAAAAATCCAAAAATTCAAATAAACATATGGAAAATATGAAAATTACAAAAAAAACCACAAAAAGTAAAATATTACAACTGGCATCCTAAAAATTTAAATTACAAACTACCCCCTAAACATCTTAAAAATAATAATAACCCTTTAAGTAGAAAACAACAAAGAAACCTTGAAAAGATTACAAAAAACCTAAAAAATTATAAAAATATAAACAACCCTGTGAAAAATCATACATTAGACAAAAACCCCTCTAAAATCTAAATATTACAATCAACCTCTTGAAAATTCAAATAAATACAAACAAACCTCTCAAAAGATCTGAAAATTATGAATGTCCGTTATTTTGGGTTTTTTGTAAAAAAATGATGGGGCTTAAGTATAAAAACATAAAACTCATTGGGTTATTGGAGTGTACTTTTGTCATTTGACTATACATAAATTGATGATATTAATTTTGAGGATATTCTGTCAAAAATTATTGGATGTTTAGTGAAAGTTTTAAAGATATTTGAGATTTAGTTCCAAATAGTAAAATTATTAAGGGTTTAGTGAGATTTACGTTTATGTTAATTTTGAGGGTTACATGAAATTACAAAAAAACCCTTAGAAAATCTAAAAATGTGAAAAAGACTCTTATCATTCTAAAGTTATAAATTATCATAAAAAATCATAAGTTATAAACAAACAATGTAAAATCTAAAAAGTACAAACAACCTTCTTTAAATTTTGAAAATTAAAAAACAATCCCCTAAAAATTCAAATTTTCAAAAAACACATAAAGATATGAAAATAACAAAAAATTCAATAAAATTAAATATGACAAATAGCGTCTTAAAATTTTTTAAATTGTACACAACCCCTAGAAATCTAAAAAAATATAAAAAAGCCCTTTAAATTAGAAAATTACAAAGAACCATCGAGAAAATTACTAAAAAACCCAAAAAGTACAAAAAGTAGAAATAACCCCCCCAAAAAATCTATAATTAGAAGCAAATCTCCTAAAAGTCAAAAAATTATAAACAACCTCTTGAAAATTCCAATAATTATGAAAAACCTCTAAAAAATATTAAAATTGTAAACATCCGATGCTTAGGGTTTTTTACCAAAAAATAATTCAGGTTAAGTGAAAGAAATGTAAACTTATACAGTTATTAGTGTAACGATGTTAGCTTTTCAAGACGTAAAGTGAGAAGAGTTCACGGTGATTTCTTAAATTTTCAAACTTGAGGGGTTTCATCTATATTAAGCTGAAATCTGAGGGGGTTTCTCAAATTAAAATAGTTGAGGGGTTTTTCTATATTTGAGGGGGTTAAGTGAAAAAAGTTCAAGGGATTATTTTAAAGTTCATAGTTGAGGGTGTTTATCTATAATATGCTTAAACTTGAGGGGGTTTCCTCATTAAAATAGTTGAGGGGTTTTTTTAAAATTAATCCATTATTTTTTAGATATAACATTATAAAATCCCATAAGTAGTGATTATATTAGAAAATTCCATAAGTAGTGATAAGAAACCTTTTTTTAACTTTTAGATCTTATCAGAAAAAGCCCTCAACTTTGAGATTGTATTAGAAAATTCTCCTAAAAGTATCGCTTTTAGAACGGTTTCCTGATAAAATCTCAAAGTTAAAGGGTAACCCCTAAAATTTAGTGGATTTTATGATATTTTTAAAATTATGAGGGATTATCTGATTATCATCAATAGTTAACGGGGTTTTGTTATTGATATTTAGCCTTTGTAATATTTTACTCTAGTTGCATAGTTATCTGCACTAAACATGAGATATATCATTTGCTTAATAATCTACTATATCAAATAGGAAAAATACAACATTTTACTATAAACAACAAACTTAGTGAAAAAGGTTTTTTTTATTTCTTTATGACTGAAAAAGGTAGTTTGAAAAATGAAAACTTGGATATTTAGGCTTTTAAAATGTTCAATATGCATGATATGTAAAAGGAAGTATATAAAATTATTCAAATAATGGCTCTTAATTTAAGACTAAATTCTAATTTAGTGCATTTCATTTTAAATATTTTATATTTATAATATTATACTTTATAGACAGACGTGGAAAAGTGGTATAAATTAGTTTTAGCCACATTTAATTTTTTCTGATGTTTTGATCATGAGATGTTTAATATATATCATTTTAAAATATTTAGAGTCTTCAGCAATTGTGAGCCCTTGAGGTGTTTAATAGATATGTTAATTAAAAATAATTACGTGAGTAAAACTATTCAAATATGTGTTGTTTAAGTTTTTTAATATTTTATTATGAGATATTCAATATATATACTCATTAAAAATTAACATAATTTAAATACATGAGTAAATCACCAATTATGTGAACTAGTCAAAGTTAGCTATAAAGCAATTTTATGTCTCAATAAATAACAAGTTACTCTACCAAGAAAAAAAATACATACCAGCATAAAATATATTAATTAGCTATTTCATAGCTTGCTTTGACAATCCAAAACATAAACATATAGAATATAATAATATAACCTTGAAAAAAATTCTCATCATTAAGATCATTGGTTATTGGTATGTGATTTTTCTCTAGGAGTCTATTAGCCTCATGGGATAGAATATTAAAGTGGAAATTAATTATTAAAATTGTTAAGGGTATAAAATACTGTGAATTCGTGCAAATTATAAAATGAAAACATAGGATTGGGATGAGAATAAAATCATTTGCATAAAAATTAATTTTTTCATAAAAGGATCCATACATTCATGTACTGTTTTATTGTAAATTGTACTTAATGTGAATTGACCGTGTAATTTTGACTTCAATTATGGTAATTTTATTACTTTTCATTAACTATATAGTATATAGACAATAAATTATTTTACTTTTTCACGTGAAATTAAAAGAAATATTTCACAACCAAGTTAAGTAAGAAAAAAGAGATCATGATATTTAGCATCCAATCTAGTTCATGGAAAATATAGATCTTTTTAGTGCTACAAGATAAGTCGTGCCCAAAGCTTGTGCTGTCATTTTACACCTTTGAGTACGTTCTGTATATTTACAGTACTTAATTGGTGCTTATGAAGCAAATCTGAATCAAAAAGTGTAGAATAACTTATTTATTAGTAATAACATCAGAAAAGTTATTCGCTGATTGGCTAATTGCTGTTAAGAGAACTGTAACCAACAAGAAGGAAATTATTGTGAAGCCACAGGTTTTCGTCTTCTATAGGACTTATCCATAGTATCGTTTAATGTAAAGGGAAATAATTCCAAATTAAGCTAATTAAAGAAGTGTGTGTATGAGTATCTCAACAAGTGCAAGGAACATAAAGGGTTAAATTGTCTTCTACTTACTTAAATAGTCTGATCATATTCCTATTTTACTTAAATTTAAAAGTCAAGAGCATATACTACAATTTTCTCTAGTCTGCAGATAAATTGGATGATGAAGAGAAAGTGAAAGTCACAATAATGGAAGAAATTACGTGCGAGCATGTCATCAGTACCTGAGTCAATGCGTGTCCTTTTAGGTTCTTTAATCGACCATAAAACAACAAATGCTCTCTCCCAGTAAGTGTTCCCCAAAGTAGGCTGTGTTTTTAGTTAACAAGTACAACACAAATATCAGCAAGTACTTATAATTACCGAAAATTCAAGTACTTCACGTTGTTTTGATCTACATTTAGGATTAAGAAAAATTAGGGAAATCAATCTTACTTTTGCTGTGGACATACGCCAATTCTAGTGTACACTTTGTCCATATTGAATCTGATATCCATTCCTTGAACATAAGCAGTGCCCGAAGTTGGTTTCGTTAACCCAGTCATCTGCATATACGTTAGACATCATTGGAATTCAGCTTTCATACAAATATAAGATCTTTCATACAGATTTAAGATCATGATATTGTGCACGAAAGGGGGTTTGTCTAGAGATTCAGGTTTGCATAGATGATAACAAATCACTTCTATTAGTCCGGTAGAAAATGTCAAATAATTGAATAAGAGATGAGCTCCTGATATAATATTTATTTGGGCAGAAGATTGGAACATCATTGAATATTAAATGGGTATAAGGTGTAACTCATTTAACTACTGAGCAACCATGAGATACACTGGTCACGAGGTCCAGACAGCTAGTCAAGTTGGAGCATGTGGACCTTATCGCCTATATATCTGGTTAGCTCATTTTGCTAAATAAGGTGGCAGCTCAAAGCCAGCATCTAATATAATGCAAACTTCATGCTAGAAAATGAACACGAAAGTTAAAATATTGTCATCTGCAAGACAATTTAGAATACAAAGCAAAAGTTTAAAAAATGATAATTTTCATACTAACCATACTTATCCAAGATGTTTTCCCAGCACCATTAGGACCAAGCATTCCAAAACATTCTGTTTGAGGCAAGGCAAGAGATAACCCTTTAACTGCACACTTCTCTGGGTTTCCATCCCTACTCGGGTACACCTTTTTCATGTTATTGCAGATGATTGCATAATTAGAACTAGGCTGTAGCAGTAATTTTTCGACCACCTCCTTCTGAAAGTTAGAAAAATGGAATGATTTTGACATAACAGTTAAATCTAGAGTACTGTAAAAGGTACATAATGGAGAAACTAATCGCAATATATGAGATGATGTGTGCACCTCTTTGTGAAAGTGCTTGGAATAAGTGTGCGTAACTTCAGAGGGAGAAAGGGACAAAGATGTGTGTGCGCATGTGTCGATAGATAGATAGACAAACAAATAGAGATACATAGATAGATAGATGCACATACATACATATAAATGTAAGTATAAATGTGATAAAAGCTTGCCTCATGAGCAATATCGTCCTTCGTCATCTCATTAAGGACTACTGATTCGCCGGGTTTATTACTAGATGACGATGACATATTTTGGAAGCATCGCCAAAAACATAGAGTATTACCAATGCCAACCTTATCCAAGAAGAATGCAAATAGAAGCAATACCAGCCATTCGACACTCATTAGTATCATAAGAACTTTCATTCCATTACTGCTATCATCCAAGTCTCTCCATTGCATGCTAGAAGCTCCCACACTTGCAGAGAGTGAAGAGTCATACAGCTCATATATGCCTCTGAATAAGGAAAACCCAGGAAAGATCTCCATTATTAAAACCCAGGTTCCTACGAAGCAACAAAATAAATCATAAATGTAGTTGGTTATGCCTTAAGAAAGTAATTTAACGTTGATAATTCTGTTAGCTTACTTGAGAAGGAAGCATCTTCCACAAAAGGTTTGAATAGATATTCCCCTAATAGACCAGAAGCAAATACGTATATATAACCTATTACTGTAAAAAAATCCAGACTGTGATGAGGTATGACTAGTCATTTGTCAGGATGTAAGTAAAAAAATTTAGTTACTTTGAAGCTGACCTTGAGCAGTTTTAACATCAGAAAAGAATGTTGCCACAAAAAATGCTAATGCAACCTGTAAGTTGGTATAAATAAAAAGGAACGGATACAATATGGCGTTGGCATTCAAACGAAAGAGACTTATACCTAAAGGACAAAAGAAAGACATGTACTTCAGAAATATTTATATCGAGTGCTTACGAATTAGTAAAAATCTTACACATTCTTACCTGCCAGATCACCAAATAGCCTGAACAAGAGTGCATAAACAAATGATATACAGAAAAAATAAGCATAAGATATCATCCAATAAGGCCCATCACCAAGCCCATGCATTTTCATCATAATTTTCAACTTATGCTGCTTCTCATAGACCAGGTTTGTCAATATGACCTGCATTATAAATAAAATTAGTTAAGTAGAATGTAATATGCTTTTCTCAAAATAGTAATGATGATAGATAGATCGACACATATTATTTGTCCGGATTCAACTCAATGGATTATTTAATTATGGGGTATTATCTTCTTCTTCATAATCAATGAGAATATAGAATTCTTCCTCTCTTTCAACACATAGTAACTAAATCAACAGTCGAAATAATGTTGAAGATAATACAATGTTTCACCAATTTGAAATGTAAGAGGCTTAAAATTGGATGGCAAAAAATACATGACATGCAATCCTGTGTATGAGAATATGAATGGCGTGCATCATTCATACAGTATCTAATTTTGGAAGTCTCAACACTAAAGAGTTCTCATTTGAAAAAGTTTCCTGTATTGAAGAGCTTGAGATAAGATTTACTTTCAAAAAGAGGTTTATGAGAACCCCACAATAGGTGATGTTCAGATGATCCACGCCATTCATCCTAATCTAGGCATTCGAAATAACCTAGGAAATAAATATCGAGGAACTTTAAATTGCATATTTTTCTCAGCTAATTCTATGTGGCTTTACATGGTAAAATTACAAATCCAATAGATGAAGTGCTGCTTCTGATATCTTCTTTGGTATTTCTCATAGAGCTGAAAATACTAGCATTGATTTCTTTCCAAGTTAGCGAACAATTTGTATTGAAAGTATTATCCTATTCCTTTCTTTTGGTAATGAGATTGCTTTCAAGTGCCAAGAAGTCTAGATCTTACTACAGAGATAGGCCAGGTGTTAAAATTGAACTTATGATTGAGAACTATGTCCAAACCGAGAGTTTGAAGCAAGATTCAAGGTGTAATTTTTGTGAGTTCCTCAAATAAACACATTACATATTCAATTCAATATTTCATTCGAAACACTGTTGCCAATAAGAAGTTGATCAAGATTGAGAAGCCACATCTACATATGGACTTTCAATAGAGTTGGTCGTTTCAATATGATTTTGAACCACCAAATTAGAAGGCAGCAACATAAGAATTTTACAACAAAGTTGCCCTTGGATGAAGCTAACCATCTTCCAATGTCTGACAGCTTGTTGCACTTCAAGTGATGGAGGAGATTAAAAAATGATTGAAGATTATGAAAATAACCGTGATTCATTTCCCTTTGAGATAAGAGGCCCGCATTGTCATCCTTTGTAACTGAAACCACATGTAATCAGTTGTAGCTTTAAGAGAAACTTAAATAATTCTATAAAAAGGTTCTGTATATATTTTTCATTCCATGCACGTAATAAAAAATGTGTAATCTGACTATGTCCAATCTGAATATACAACACTCGATGAGAATGACAAACTTGAGAACACTGTGATAAAAAGGTGTAATTTAAGCATTGATAAAAAATGCAAGGTCAAAAAGGCCTTCTTCGATGATGGTAGTTGCTTTTCACAAGAATGATCCAAGGACTATTGCTCTTTGCAAAGGTGAAATAATTTTTTTCGATCTCCTCTTTAATGAAAAGAATCTCAACTTAAGAGACAATCAAATGGTGATAAAGTGATTGCCAACAAACTTGAGAAAGGGGTGATGTAGTGCACCAAAATTATAAACAATAGTATGAGATGAATGTGGATGCTATAGCCTCGGTATTGATAACGGAATCATCAACTTCAAGGGATCGATTGCAGTTGAGGAATTGTTGAGTGTTGATCTAGTGGAAGAAAGACGTCATGTTTTGATTATCCCTTCCTAGATTCCATAATGTTTCAGGTCCTTATTTTCTTGTTACTATAAATTTTCCAAATCTTCTATACCTTCCCCATATTGAGAGTATTTCCCTAAAATTTCTAAACCAAATTCTCTCATCCACAAAGTAATTTAGATATGCGATGGTGACTCATACGGAGTTATCACTAAGGAGTTCTCAATTGAAAATTTCCTATACATGTAAAATATATGAAGAACAATACCTAGGACAAATAATAGCCAACAGATTATGGAACACAACTATTTTTGCTATTTTTCTTTACCTATAGTACGTAAACAGGAAAGATTGACTTGCATTTTAATGTGATTGTGTCTTAATTGTGAGCAGGACAAGTGCTTTTAGGTGTTATCTGATTAAATCATACCTCTGACTGAAAGGAAATTTATTGCAAAATAATGATACGGACAAAATTTTAGTATACTTGATAAATTTGGGAGTATGTCAATGAATCTTGTGGTTGCAACAATACCAAGGCAGCTAAGAGAGAAACCAACTGAGAAAGTATGGGTACATACAAAGAGCCATGGAGGCCTAATAAGAAGATGTCGTGGGGCTTGTGCTAAATATCAATAAAAAGAAATAGTAAACTTGAAGTAGATCAGATAGAAGACATAAATAATTTGATTAAGCTTGTTAAAATTGGATGATCCCTATATAAGTAATAAGCAAAGAAGTATTTATTATAGGGACAAGGTTCACTAACTATGGTATAGTGTCCGATATGATCAACAGAATATTCAAAGTATGCCAAATTTTTAAGATACTAAACCATATTGATGAACACAGACTTTGCATTAATTTAAAGCTTTTGAACATAAAACATAAAAGAATGCAAAAATATTTGAAAAGTTTGAAGGAAAGAAAGGCTTATGAAGATTGATAGGGTCCTCCAACTAAAATCATACTCACCGGAAATATAAGTTCTAGAATCCATACAACGAAGAGCTGCCTCAGAATAATAGAAATATCCCACGTAATGTCTGATGCTCGTCTTGGCATTTCTTTGACGTATTCGAACTGTATATTCATATCGTTACCTCTCAGAAGACGGAGGTAAGCATTGGAGACCTATGAGTAAGAAAAAATCAGCAAGGTCTTGTGGGTAACATAAGAAACTTTTTTAAGATGATAGAATGAAATAAAAAATAACTAAAATATATTCGACAGTCATGATAAAACTCTAAAATGGCATTTATTTAAAGAAATAAATAAGGTACCTAGCCTCCATGATGAAGATCAAATGTGGAATTTGATGCATCCGAACCAAAAAAGTACATAAGTTCTCAATCTCTTAGTGAGACTGCTCTGCCATACTCTCACATTGACCTCTTTTCAACATAATATTGACTAATATTGTCTCCCTAAGCTGGACTAAAATGTATACAATCGCACCTTGTTACATAAAAATCAACTTAGGGAATACAGCCATTATCTTTTCATGCTTGTCAAGTGACAGTCAAGATCATTATGCTTAATTTGATCATGGAACACCATATACGATACACATGCAGTTTTGTTATCACAATGTATCAACCATGAATACATATGATCTTTTGTGAGAGGAAGTATTCTTGCACTAGATATTGTTGAAACTTGAAAATTCAACCTTAAGAATTGATCACTCTAATACCAATTGTTGTGATCCTAGGATTTAATGTAGAACCTTACTGCATAAGGTAACTCTCTCTGTCCTTTTTTACACAACTAAGATCTGACCCTATATTTCCCCACTCAAAATCATTTACCGACTTGATCGTCGGAGGAACAAAAGGAGAACCCAACTCCGCCCTCTTATGAGTTCTTTCTTGTGTAGGNGTAGGGAAGAACAGCAAGCCCCAGAACCATTTATCAAAAGGAGTTAGAGGACCTTAATCACTCTACAAACCTGCAAATAATCCCCTGTTTGATAACTGACATCAATAGGTATAATACATGTGTTTAGTGGTATGTTACAATTAACAAGGTTTTAGATATTAGTCCCTCAAATCTTCAATAATTCCATATGAGTCCCTAAAATCTTGGAAATTGCTTATTAGTCCCTCAAATCCTATGCGGTCCTGCAAATTAGTCCCTCTAGTTAACGTTAAGTCTAAGGTGGAAAGCTAATGTTACCTTTTTGTTAAGTTCTCCAATCTTTCTTTTAATGGGTGTAAACCCAATAACACAAACTTACTCCAACAATTAAAAGAAACATTCTAACCCACTTCTCAATGGTCATTGGCCTCTCTAAAAATCCATATAATCGTTCTAACTAAAAAGTAATTAAGTATTAAGGATGTTGTAGTAGAAGCTAATAACTGTGATTTGGAATTTTAACTGAGATCTAATAGATAGACCAATTTGTACAGTCACTAGGATTTGAGGGACTAATTAGCAATTACAATGATTTGAGGGACTGGGACTAATGTGGAATTATTGAATATATGAGTGGCTAATATCTAAAAATTACTAAAATCTTGATGTATGACATACCTACATTAAATATAGTGTTCTTGCATTAAAACCCACTAAATATTCTCAGTTATAACCATACATTGTTAAATCATTTACTTAAATAAGGTATTATAAGTTATATCTCTCATGGGATAGTCGATGTGGAATTTTCTGATCATTGACTCATAAACTGAGGGGGGAAATATTTTTCTAGAAGCATAGTGGACATGCAACTCTACGATCATTGAAGGGTACACTTTGCTAAAATATACATGCATTTAAATTAATATAAACTTTAATAGACAGTTTAGCGCTATACATAATAAATTTCCTGATAGCAATTCTTATTCTGGTCACAGATTTGAGATTTGTGTTAAATATGCTAGTGTTTGATTTGCCTTGGCAATACATTTTAGATCTTAAATGTCAATTAACACCGTTGTAAGTGTTATTCAAAAAACGTGGAAAGATATTAGGTTTTTTTGGCTTGCAATCCCATAGTTATTAGAGTTTTAGCGCGATTTTAAAAGTTTTTGCAGATTTACTGCAAAATGCGGAAAGTTCTTTGGAGTTAGTGTAATTTACCTAATTATTACATTTGTTGATAATATGTGTTAGGAATATAGATTAATAAATAACTTGATGTTATAATCTTCTAGAAGTTTAGATATCTTGTGGTGTAGCCATTTCATAATATTCTGCATAAAAAAGGAAGAAATAAGAAGAAGCTCATAGCACTTTTCCCTTGCAAAAGTTGCAACTCTAGGCCTTCCTCCCTATAAACAATATTATTCAGTCATTTAATATCATGTATTGTCATGAAACTATTATCAAAATCATCATTCACCAGTAAAAATCCACAAATCTAGAAAAGCTCCTTGATATTGGAAGAACTTAGAAAGATCAGTAAAATAAATCCTCAAAAGATAAAACATATGTTCATAGCAGTCAAGTGTCTCACTTGTAAGAATTACACATTTAGCCCTCTTACCAAGAGTAACAATAACTCGATAACTATGATCAAGGGTGGTCAAAGTTGAATCAAAGAATATGCCAAAAGTATCATTCTCTCAACACAAATCAAAACAGAAGACATACCCAGTAATATTACCATTATAATTAGATCAGCAATAATTAGATCATGCTGAGAGCAATGAACTAATTACATCCGAACTACACGAATGTCTTCCAGCCCATTACTTGATAAGGAAAATTTTAGGCTTCAAGCCAATATTTTCTTCACTAATTCCATTTTATGTGCTCTGAAAGTTTGGAACTTTTTCCATCTATAAATGGACGTTATTAGAAGATTGCTAATGGATGTTTACAGGAAACGTAAGTTGAGTAGAAATGACCCCTTAATATTCCTTTCAGATGGACGTAATAGAAATATTACTAAATGGGCATTTCTTAAAAATGGAAGTTGACACTAATCCTCCTTTGATATTCCTTCAACATGAAGTGCACGATAGCATGAACTGAAGTTTAAAAGAACACTAAATGCACATTTGTAAGAGAGTGAACATGACAGAGTAAGCTGAAAAGATTGAAGTATAGATATTTGTATGTATGTATGTTGATGCATTGATATGTATGTGTTTTGTACACAAAATTACATGGATACCCATAAAAATAGAAAAAAAAATCATTCTTACAATTGTACGTACAAATTGGAGGGCATTTTTGAAAAACTATTTATAAATGAGAGCAAATATAGTTATACTGATACAAAGCAACAATAGAGGTTAATGCTTGATAGTGGATTGTCACAACCCCTCCCACTCATATCAAATAATAGGGACCACATTCCACAATGGTAGTGAGTGGATGAGGATGTGACACATCCTCCTACTAAGCACAAAATTTATGCCTTGTACTAAGCATACCCATGTTTTCTCCATAATATATATAATATATATATATATATATATATATATATATTATATGTGTGGTGTGTGTTGTGTAACACGTCCAAATGCACACATATATATACAACATATGTGTACACAATACGCACATATAACACCCATAAACATATATGTTATGTAGTGTACATATTTAATTGTAGAAATAATCAATGTTGATAGAAAAGCCTAGGCATAGGACTGACACATACAAAGAATTCTTAATTCTTTTAGTGGTGGTGAAGTTTGATGAAGGTCAAGAGAAAATGTTCACAGTTGGAGGCTAGAGGCCGTTGGGAGATGTGTGGAGGAACGTGCAGACTGCAAGAGAAGAAATCTTGATTGACACCTAAAAGTGCAGTCCATGAGGCAGATCACACTCCCTAGATGTGAACAAAATCTAGGAAGGGCCACCTGACTAGGTAAATCGGCAGGCTTGGTCTAAGTACCACCCCTAAACGCAAGGCATATTCTAGGCCGCTTACCAAAGGCTTTTTAAAAGATACTTTCACCCTCCCCAAATCATCAAAATATTAGAGGAGAAAGTTAATGAATAATTAAAGAAAGAGGTGCGTTAGACAAAGAGAAAAGGAAGGTGGAACAAGTGAGATATATGAGAATGACGGAGATAAGTGGGAGAAGAGATCGAAGGTTGAGGATTGGGAAGGAATGGTGGGAAGGGAGGGAGAGGAGCCTTTACAAAATTTTAAAACCTTGAGGGAATAAAAATATCAAAAATTTTGGGAAATTTTGATCGAAAAAACTTATGTATTTGCCATTTTATCACTTATTATTACGTTTTTAACCATCTGCTTTTTAGTGCGCGTGCACGCACGCTACACACAACATATAGAACACCTATATAAGAGCCTTACGCCTACCTGAATTAGTAGATGTATGAATCTCCAGAATAATATATAATAGTTTTGAATTATAACTTGATATTTTTATCAGTGTATTATTCCTCCTTAGGAAAGGATATACTTAAATACGCTACCGAAGAGATACAATGAAAACACTTTATCAGGTATCACTTCCTCCTCAAGGACAAAGAATACTTGATAGTACTAACAAGTAGATACAATGAAG